GTGTATATTTCTGTTTTTACTTGGTAAAGTGGGCTAATGGTTAATATATGTGGTTTCGCTTTGTGCTTGGGCGTTGTGTGTTTTTCTCTGCATTATTATGATGATATGCTTTCTCCAGAGATAAAGAACAATAATACAGAAATACATTTATATATAATTGCATATCAATTTAATCAAACTTGTTGTTTTGTGTTTGATGTTGCCTTTAGTTGTTCTCTTTTTTTTTTATTTTTCTTTTATTGAGGTTGGGCAGTGTGAGAGAAGAGCTTTTTTTTTAAAGTTTCTTGTTTATACATAGCGTTGTTTTGTGTAAGAGTTTATTTGTATATTTTTGTGTGTTTTTTATTCTTTCTTTTGTTTTTATCTTCCCAGTTGAGTTGCTTTAAACGAGAAAGAAAACTCCGTTTCTGATGCTGCTACACCGTCTGTTGTATCTTGTGGCTTTGCTTCTTGGCGTGGCATGTGTCTGTGGGGCGGATGAAGAGGCAAAAGCTGCGCAGGGGCTTTATCCTGATGCTGCTGATTCTAGCAGTACTTGTGATGGCCCTAAAAAAACTCAAAGTGCTTGTATTTCTGGTTTACCTGCTAAACTTCCTGCGACTCCTCTTCAGCCTGGAGATAGGGGTCAACCTGCCATTGAAAATCTCGCTCCAGATAGTCGTACTGGTCCCGTCACTACCGTGCGGGGAAGTGATAGTGATCCGCATGTATCTGAACAGCATGGGCCAGAACTTCAAAAAGAAAAGGATCCATTAGGTAGTCAGAACAACGTACAAGGAGTGGCAGCGGACACTCATGTAAACAACCCAAACACACAGCCATCATCATCATCTCTTGGGCAGCGACCTCCCAGTGGGTCAAGTGGTCCTGAGGGCCAAACGAGAACGAATGGTGGAACTACACAAGACTCTAAAGAAGAAAACCGCAACACAGAAATCGATACTGGAAGTACAGGATCCCAGAGAACTGATGACTCAACAGAACATCCTACTCCAAATGCA